TCCAAAAATTCATTTGGAACAAGAAGAGACCCAGAATAGCAAAAGCAATTCTAGGTAACAGAGACATGGCGGGGGTATCACAATCCCCAACCTCCCATGCTTTCTGATGAGAGCTGTCTCTATGGTGGAGAGGTTGGGATTTCAGAAACTGTACTGCCAAATTTGTGAAGTACATATATTATTGGATTTCAGCTCTTCCCACTTGTAAGACAGTTAACTTTAAAAAATGTGTTTGCATCTACTGGCCCACTGGTTACCCCTGACACCCTTTTCTGCAGGTGAGGACACTGACGTGTAAAAGGTAAAGTGTTACCCCAGTTACTCAGCTACCTGGAGGCAGAGCTGAGCTACAGCGCAGGCATCCTGACTCAGCTCCCTGTCCAGCAGACCACACAGACGACTGCGTAACCTTCAGCCACCACTGCACCATGGAGCCCTGGCAGGTACGTGTGGGCTCTGTCTGGAATAGCATTCACCACCTAATGCGGAGTAGGTACCTTTTCCATTCCGGCAGAACCTCGAAGGAAGAAATTCCATTCGGCTTCAGTTAGGGAACCTTGCTGCCGCATGATCTCAACACAGAGCATAAAGCTGTAGATGAGTTTATGTTGTTCAAAAAGTCCTCTTGAAATATTGATATAGGCATTTAGAAGAGTTTGCTCCAGCAGTATTTCCAGGCGATGCTGTAGATCATCTGTCTTCACAGAAGTTTCGATTGTTGTATTGAACAACTGTAGAAAAAGAGCATAGTATCTCTGGTTTAATTCACTCTCTATGAAGGAAAAAAGCCCCTGTTCTTCCTCTCCCTCCCCACCTTCATATTCAGTGAGCAAATAGCAGCTCAGGAGGTGGATACTGTTCTATGACAAAATCTAAAATTCATCCCAAAATGACATGTGATATTTATTTTCTGCACTCTTTTCCCTCCCATTTTTAGAAAACAGGCCCATTCCAAACTCTTGACAATGTTCAGAATGCATCACCCTGATGTGAGACAGGAAACCTGGAAAGCCAAGGTAAGTGGGCAGGACCAGGTGTTTTTTGTTTTTTTTTTAAACATTGTTAACTGAGATTTGATTAAATTCATTTTATGATGAGAGTTACAAGGGGAAGGTGAGGTCATGCACCCTTCTTCGCACTTCTCCAAGATAGGGTATGGAAAGACTATGCTACAATTTGTCTTGAAATATAAGAGAAATAGATTTTAAAGAAGACTTCTACCCTATTTACCATCTGGAAAATGTGGCAGCAGGCTCCTCCCCTAAAGTTCTCGCACATTAGAGGGGCCCTGGGAAGACAGTAGAGGTGATGGCCTTGAGGGGTTGGCATGGGAGAGTCAGAGGAGGCTCTGCCCATTTCTTGTAATGTTGGGCTCCATGAAGGGAAGACCTCCACCTTCTCAACACCGCAAGCTGTGTGAGGAAGTTAAGTAGAGCCTGAACTTGTGGGTCTGGCTGGAGATCATGGGGGAGAAGGGTCATGCAGGGGAAAACTGTGAGGCAGTTCCTCCAGGGACTGGGGTAGAGGTGACTGTAGTGTCAGGATCCACAGTCAGAGGGGGCAAAGGTGAGAGGCAAGGTAGTGCCTGCCCAATTCCTGGAATCTAGAGATGTTGCTCATCTGGGTATCACACAGATCAAAACAGACCTGAAACTGGAAGCCAGATGAGGACCAGGGCAGATCAGGGCCAAGAACTTTACTTTTCCCTGAGAACACTGCATTGCAATTGTGCAGGCCTCTCTTTCACCCACCCCTCTGCTAAGACGATGGAGCAGTATGGGAAAAAAGCCTGGTTGTGTCAGTCTCCTCCCTCCTAAATAGGTCTCTATTCCCCGAAATAAGAGGACCTTGGAGGAAGCACACAATTATTGTGGAGAATTGGGAACATTCTTGTTAATTCTGCCAAAGATTTGGTCAACAAAGGGTAACACGGTTGTGATTTGAATACACTCAGAAGAGGACTAAACTTTCTTTAGCAACCTGACCAGAAGCAGAGAGGTTAAAGCCCAGCAAAGATGTGGTATGTGTGGTGCCAAAATAAAACAGCAAATCTCAAAACGTCCCAAAGTATTCCATGCGAAATGCAATTACAGACGGGTTTGGTAGAAGATGTGTTGGCCAGAGCTGTCATCTACAAATCTGTTTTGGGTTTCTAGTTTCCCTTCTAAACCATAAAACTTCTTGATTTTGATAATTCATCTTCTATCCCCCTTTTCTCTCAGGCTGACATGTTTTTAGAGCATCACTTTTATTTCTTGAAGAAGATTTTAAAACCTTGAAAAGCATGAATCCCCAAACACCCAGGATATGAAAGATGTTATCAGTCATATAAGTGGCATTAAGAAATTGACTAATTCTTGCTTTGCTTGGCTTTATCCCTACCACCTAAAAGAAGGGAAGAGAGACATGAGAACACAAATCCTTGCTTCTAGGAATTGAAGTTTGACCCCAGTACAGATGGCTTTGAGAGGCTGCTAAAGCAAATGCATGTACTGCAAGAAAGCCCAGTCATATCTAAGCAACACAACTCTCTTTCCCCCACGCTCTTCATTTCTAGTCTCCCCTGCAGCTTCAATTGTTGCTATAGCTACAATCAAATCATTTAAGACTTTTAGAAGAAAACTAAGCTTTGTCTGGTGTCATAAAGATGGAGTATACCTATTTCAGTTTCAGCAAGATTTGTGTGAATGTTACGGAGAGATGGAAACAGTCGCATCGCTCAGGAAACATTCAGGAGGTGCTGCAGGGTGCTGAGCACCTCAGGAGACCCTGGGATGAGTGAGGCTTCGGTCCCACCTTCTGGGAGGTCAGACTGCAGCTGGAGGGAGATTCTGACTGTCCAAGGCAATATTGGGTAAGTGCAATAGGAGGCGTTATCAGAGGTGCCAGGTGAAATATTGCTGAATTTGTCTGACTCCTCCCACTGAGAGTTGGAGTCTACATCCTCCCTCTTCCATTGGGCTGTCCTTGGCAGCCCAACTGACCAGCAGACTGCAGCAGAAATGCTACTGCATGGCATTCAGGGATAGGGCAGAAGAAGCCTTGCAGCTGCCGCTTCTGCTTCTTTGCAAACTGGCTTTGCCAAGATGTCTTCCTGGAAACCAGGTTTCCAGAAGTGAGAAAGCAAAGCCACATGAGCCACATGGATAGGTCACTGTGGTCAACAGCCCAGCTATGTGAGTGACCCATTTCAGATGTCTTTCCTAGTCATGTCTTGGTGTGTGTAGTATCAGGGTTTTCAGGAAAAGGTGGCATTCTAAACAGAGGGAGAGCCATAAATACAAAAGCATCCAGCACATCCAGGGAATACAAATGGATCAATCTGGCTGATGCAGAGAGGGGCTGAGAAGACATATGGCTGGAGAGATAGAACAGCACCAGGCTGCAGGTGGCTTTGAAGTTTAGGCCATGGAGTCTAAACAATGTGTATGGGCAGTGACTAAAATGCATTTAAAACCCTAAGTCAGCAGAATGGTTTTGAATACACTAGGCCTTGGCTGGCCTGGCTTCCAGGCGTGTGAGCCAGCTGTGTACAAAGATGTGCTGCAGGGAAAGAGGACATATTCTACAATTCTCCACTGCTTTCTACTACAAGTCATGTGCATGGAGAGCTCTTTGTTGCTTTGTGTCATGATTATGAACACAGAGGATTAGAAAAATGAGAGTAACTTAAATTTCTCAGCATAGAAAAGGGTACAGAAGATGTGGTGGGAGCAGGCAGGTGGGCAGAGGAGGAAGCTGGAGAGGGGAAGATTGGAAGATGCAGTGTAGCAGATGTGTAGGGTGACAAGTCTAGAGGACTACAAGTTATAAAATTGTACTGCATATGCAACTCATGTTAATGAGTAGATTTTAACTGGTCTTGCCATAAAAACAAAAAATAATGTGAGGTGATGGGTATTAATTTGCTTCATCATAGTAACCTCCTCTCCCCCTACCTATGTGTATTCCATAATATATTGTATACCTTGAATATACATGATAAAATTTATTTTCTTAATAAAATGGACAACAAATCTAGGACGGGAGGAACTGGTAGGAGAGAAGACTGAGCCAGGGAGGGGTGTGTGGGGTGAGCTTGAGGGAAGAGGCCACTGGCATCTGGGAGTAATGAGGCGAACAGGGGTCGTGGTGAGGGAGCTGGGGATGTTTGGGAAATTCTGCTGTGTAATGACCCCACAAACTTTCTGCCTCCCCTGGGAGTCTTCAGCAAAATCAGCTGGGTTTGTTGCTTTGTGATACGGAATTTGCTCTTGGTAGATAATGGAGTGCTGCTACAAAGAGGATGAGGTGTGAAACATCCTGTTATGAGAGATCACATGAAATTCAACTGTAAATATAAGATAAAGTAGAGACCAAACTAACACAAAGAAGTCTCACAGGCATAGGGGGAAATGGGAGAGCAACAAGGGAAAGAGATTCCTCTGAATCAAAGCCGGTAGGGAATTAGGAGCAGGCTGTTTTATGAAACATTCTGGGAAAAAAACCTTCCAACCCCCCAAAAGACACACATATCGATCTGGTTAAAATCGGAGTTGTCTGAGACCTGAAACCCACATGGAAAATACTAGCAGCAAAAAGGAAACAGGGCTGCTCCTGAGGAAGTGTAAAGAAACAGCATTGAGCTGAGACATAGAGCAAAAGAGAGCCAGGCAAGAAGGGAAGTGAGCAGGTGAATTAGGGAAGCTGAGTTAATGAGAGGTGGGTTTCTTCTCTTCCTCTACAGGTCTCTGCTCGGAACCTTCAGAAGTGGTGGGTGACTCTGAACCATGCGGTGACCCAAACTCCTGGAGGTTTTACCCAACAACTATACTCATGGCTTCTCTGAGGCAGGGTTTAAAGGAAAGCTGAAAAGATATATTTCACTAACAACATGCTTACCTGTTTAAAATATTTTAATGAATACTGATACATAGGATCCATTTCTGAGAGGCTTGCGATGACAAAGTAAATAACAGAGCCTTGAGTGGCAACTGGGCGATACTTCTCGCGAGTGACATTGATCATCTGCTCAGTGGACTCTGCTTCTTTCAGCCTGGTTTTAATGGCACCGGAAGTGATCTGAATAAACACACAAGTTCTTAAGGATATGTTTCAGAAAAGTAGTGGGAATTCTGAGATATATCCAGTCATATCTAGGAGTCGTTAAGGATGCAATGAGTTAGTGAGTATAGTAAAGATCCCCTCAGGCAATGACTGAGTCTCAGGACTAGTGATTTTTCTTCTGACTCATTTCTTTAAGAGTTAGGGAAGGGCAAAAGGAAATAGACAATTTAAGAAGCCTGAAAAGATTGCAGCAGGACTTCCCTGACATTCAAATTTGAGTTACTCCTGAGAGGAAAACACTGGCCCAGGGCTCCAAGTCACTTTCCAACTTCTTCGTGAGCAGTTCAGGTTGTGCTTGATGAAAAAGACCTGAGTGGAGGAGAGGTATCCAGCGAAATGTCCCCCAGCAGGGACAGAGAGAGGCTGGAAGTTTCTCCATCCCATCTGGAAAGACAAGGATGACTAATACTCTCGTTCATTGCCTAGCATTCCTACACTGATGTCTGCGAAGGGCTATAAACCTAAGTGAACTGGAGACGTTTTTAAGATCTTCTGTCATCCTTCTGGTTTTCTGTATTTTGGGCTTATGGTCCAGGGCTTTCCAAGGTTGCCCTCTTTGTGTCTTTTTACTGCTGTCTGCCCCTCTTGCCCACCCATTTGCTGACTATTCTTCAGCTGTGCACGTCTGTAAGTTGGGAGATGTTTTGTCTCTAGAAGTCAAAAATTTAGTTCAGGATCATGAAAAATCACTATGGGAACTGGCTGCTCAGAATTTGCTGAATGGAAGGGACAGCCTTGGGGACCACCAGGCTTCAGTTTAGACCAGTGCTTCCCAATAGAAATATAAAGTTTGAAAAGCAGTGTAGAGCCACAGAAATGGGAGGAACAGGAGAGGAAATAGCAATAAAATGTTGAGAGCTAGAGAGCAGACAGAAGAGTGACTATAACTGAGCAGATTCAGGAAAATGGGTCCTAAGCTGGCAAAAAGAGAAAGCCAGGAACTCATCCAATTCATGAAACAAAATCACCGTCAAAGGCACAGGAATTAGTGGTAACAGGCACTGCTGGAAGTGGGAAGAGCCTAAAATAAGTATTGGTTGAATGACTCCCAGGTTTTCTGTTCCACACCACTCAGTCAGGAGATTGTTCCTTCCCCTCTAGAAACACAGAGTCCTCCTCTGGAGAAAGTAAAAGAAAGGGTGTGTGCTATGGGAGGAAGCCAGGCAGAAGTACCGTACTGACATGGAGCAATTAGGTGAATTCATGGACTCCTACTCTGCTCAGCTTCCCACATGCTCCCGGCCAGGTCTTTACCTTTTGGCAATGGAAACACTATGTTCAGTGTGTAACTCTGGTGGGAGAGAGGGTTGGGAATGGGGAGGGTGTGTGTGTATGTGTGAGTGTTGGTGGTACAGGCAAGAGTTCACATGTAAAATGGAAGTGAGTCATAGTTGTGTGTTATGTGTTGATAAGGAAGGAATCTTGTTTGTCATAACAAGCCTTAGAGAAAGCTTTCATTCTTTAAACAGCCTGCATGTAAAACTTTGGTAAAAAATAAAAACAAATGGTTAGCAACCAACTGCCAGAAATTAAAAATCCAAGAAAGAATGAATGAAAGGAGGATAAAGAGACCAATGGACACACAAAGGAAGAGAGGGGAAGGAAATGGGAAATCCAGAATTACTGTTTACTGTTGTTTCTATACCAAGTTCTTAAGCGACTGTAGTATGTAAAGAGTAAACCATTTTAGACATCAATGAAAGTCAGAGAACATAACTTGATGTGCTTCTTGTCTAGTAAAATCAAAGGGAGTTTTTCTGGTAAATATTTTGTTTCTCATGAATGGTAAGAATTATTTTTATAGGTTCCTTGTATATTCCTTCTGCTTTGTGTGGTGCTGGGGATTGAAGCCCTAGGCTTGCTAAGCAAAAGCGCTGCCACTGAGCTACAACTCAGGCCCTGTACTTCTTTTTTTTTTTTGGTACCGGGGATCGAACTCCGGTCCTTGTGCTTGCACAGCAGGTGGTGAAACCACTGAGCTAAATCCCTGGCCCTCCCCTGTACTTCTTAAATGATGGTTTAAATCTGAGAAATGATTCACTGCAGGATTATATATTTAATGTAATATTTCACCATACTATTAGCACATTTCTATTAAACACCAACTGTGTGTAACCATCATGCTTAACCCTGGAAGAAGAAATATCAAAATGAGGTATTCCTGGATTCCCACTGGATAGCACTTAGCCACCTAACAGCAGGTAACTGCTGAGGCAGGTAACTGGGTAACTATGACACAAGGTAAACAGTGACAAGTGCTGCAATAGAGGTGTGGGTAAGGCGTTAGAGCAGCTCCAAGAGGAGGAGTCATTCCAGCTGGGAACACGGAGGAGGCCTCCCAGGAGAGGTAACATTAATGTCATTTTAGAATTGTGTTTATTCCTTTCAACTTATGTCCCATCCCAGTCCTTTATATTACATGCTTTATTTTGAAAATGCAGAGAAGACAGAAGAGCCATTGTCTGCAGTTTTTCTGTTGGTGTGGAGAGAGGAGGCCTGGCAGCCAAGCATTCTGCCTGTGCGAGCTGCTGGCAGCCTACAGTGATCCTCATTCTTGCTTTAAAACTTTTGCAGAGGGTGGGGTCAGGGGGCGGGGAGTGTATAGCTCAGCGGTCCTGAGCCTGCCTGGCAAGCACAAGGCCTTAAGTTCAATTCCCAGGACTGGAAAAACAAAACGAAACAAAACCCTTTCAGGACCCTCAAAGGCTGTAGCCATAACTTTTGAAATAATGCATTTTCTACAACACTAAAAATATTTCACTTGCCTTTGAGTCCTGGAGTGTGTCAATGAGTTCTTCGTTGTCCAAAATATTTCCTTCAGATGTAAAGAGCATTCTTAGGATTTTCTCTTCAATGGCTTTCAACTGGTTTTTATCACTGTTGATCCTCACGATGAGCTGAATTCTTTGTTCTTCCAACTTTGTTCTTTCAAGTCGCACCACATCACTAGAACCAAAGTTGAAATAGCTGCATTCTTTCTTTGTCAGTGCCCTGAAGTTTTTCTATGTCAGCTCTTGGTTCATGAAACAATTTCTGACTGCACCTAAGTCAGAGTGACTACATCTAAGAATGTGAACCTAAGTTTTTCTCTGCTGTCCTTTGCTGATTTGCTTCCAGCCTTCTGTTTGCAGGAGTTCATCTTTATTCTCCTCACTGGTGCCAGGTGCCAGGTGCCTGGCCCCCTTGTTAGTAGTTTTTCATGGACTATTTCTTTTAATTCTTTAAAGGCTTCTGTGAGATGGACTCTGGTTCTAGCCCCAGGAGTGGGTCACTTCCTGAGGAGGCACAGCCATGTGGAACTGAGCTGGGCTTGCACCTGGGTCTGCTGGCTCCAGAGCACATACTATAGCTAATGCATTATGATGTACTGCCTTATATAACAATTCATCATTTATCTGTTATGCTGAATTCAGACACCTTAAAATTGTTATCAGACCGTAAGAAACTGTCATCTCAAATTAAATTGTATACATGACTTTTTCAGAAGAGAAGAGTTTAGAGAATTTTTATGGTAAAGGTGAACTCAGGAAACAGCGTCAGACAAGCATAAACCAAATGAGGTAAGTTAAGAATCAAGAAAGACTGCTTAGAGAATGGAGGAAGGGTTCGAGTTTCTGGAAGAAGAAAGGAAGGGAGAGGAGTTGGGCTGCTTGGGTGGCTTAGTAGAATTTCTCAAAGCTGAAAAGGAGACTTGTCCAACCACAGGAGGACCGAGGAGTTGTGGTTGGCAGTCTCCTGGAGGCAGTGGGGTGAACTGAGGTGAACTGTGGAGTTCAAAAATGATGAGGATCCTGGAGGAAATTGCAATGAACAACTGAGAGCAATGGGTGCTGCCTGCCTGTGAGCTCAGCAGAGCAGGGGACAACTGAAAGAGCTGATGGCTGCCAGCGCACTGGTGACTGAGCCTTGCCTCCCATGGGCTGCAGGCTGTCAGCTCCCCTTTGCAATGCAGCAGTTGGGAAGAGAGAAGGGAGACTGAACCTCCTGACTGATCTCAGCACTGCCCTTGTTCTCCTCAGGGTACTTCTCCTTCTTGTCCCAGGCAGTCTGACTTCTCAGTGGCATAGCTAAGTGTAGCTCTTCACAGGAGTCAACTGGTATGCAAAATGTTCAGCCATGCCTTTAGAACACATCTATCAAATGTGGTGAAATACCTTTAATTGGAAAGACATTAACCTAGTGGAAGTTAAGCAAGTTAGCAGCTAATAATTCCTAAAAGAAATAAGGAAAATAAGTCTTAAGCTCGTTAGTGATAGCAAGTGAGAGTCTGGATAATCTTGACTTGAACATATATGTATGTAGATACAGATGTAAGCGTATACATCTCTATATATGTATGTATATCCATCTCTCTCTATCTGTATAGTTTTTATTTTTGCAGTGCTCTACCACTGAACTATGTCTCCACTCCAAGGTATATATATATTTTTCTTTTTTTCCAGTACCGGGGATCAAACTCAGGACCTTGCGCTTGCAAGGCAGGCATGTTGCCACTGAGCTAAATCCCCGGCCCCAGGGTATATTTTTTGAAAATGGCTCCAAATGATATTTTCTTTTAGAGTTAATGGACACTTATACACATACACTCACATATGCATATGGGCTTATGTATGTTGGTTAAATACAGTCACAGATCGACTGCACATGTGACAGTGGTCCTATAAGATTACCATGGTGACATAGCTGTCATTGTGTAACTACACAGTATGATTTTCACACAAAG